CTTGCGTGAGAAAGCAGGCGTAGTTCTCGCCCAGAGTGTAGAGCTGGATGCCGAGCGCGTGGGCGTACGCCAGCACCTCGGTGGGCGCGGGCGGGCCGGCGTACGCGCAGCAGGCGAGGGCGTCGGGAAGGAGAGCGAGGCGCTCATATCTGCTGGCGACGGAGTAGAGGAGGGCGCCGAACTGCGGGTCCAGAGTGTAGTACAGCATGGCTGCCACTCCGCCCCCGCTCCTGCTGCCCTCCCGCCCGCCCCCTGCTGACGCCCCACCTCCTCCTCCTGTTCCGGTTCCTACTCTTGCTGCTGCTGCTGCCGCTGCAGCCCTTCCAGCAGCCGCCGCCGCCGCAGCCGCAGCTGCCTTGGCGGGAGTCGGGAGGCTCGCTGCGTCACGCGCGCCCTGCCAGCGGACGCCCACGCTCACGCTCCACATAGAGAGGCACAGCGGGCATGGGCGGCACTGCTACCCCGCCTCCGTCGCGGCCGTTCGGCGCCGCTACAAGCGCGGCACGACACGGCTCGTGTGGGCGTAGCAGTGCAGGGCGTCGCCTCCGACGGCGCCGCGAGGCAGTCTTGCACTCCGCCTCAGGGGACGACTGACGGCGCTCGCCTTGGCACTGGCGGCGGGGCTCGCGACGCCTGGGCACGGGGCAGTCCTGGCCACGCGACCCTTCCACGACCGCTCATGAACGCCTTCCCGCCAAGCCTCTCTGGCGCCGTGCCCCTCGGCGCGCTCCTCTCCTCTTGCAAGTCTCCGAAGGGCGCGTCAGTCTGCTTGGCTGCAGCGCCGGACCGCCTGTGCGCCCCGCGAGCGACCGGGCGTGGCACTCAGTCTCGCAGGCCGAGTGCCAGCAGTCTAAATCCGCGGCCGGGAAGGCGTGGGAGGGACGCCAGCTGCGGCCACCAGGCACCTGATCCTCGCGCGCGGCACTGCCGCACGCGGCCGATGCGTCACGCTCTCGCGCTCCCGCCTCTCTCGGCGCGGGCTCGCTACTCCTTCCTGTCGCGACTTCGGCAGCGCCTACGTCGGCGCCGTCGCCTTCGTGGTCGTCGTGGCACTCGAGGTCGAGCCGGAGGAGGCCACTAGCAGCCTGGGCCTCGCGACGAAGAGGTGAGGGCGACGAGCGGGGTCAGGTACTGGCACCAGTCGCTGCGGGGGTCGGCGGGCGGCACCATCATGGCGCGGGGGAACGGGGCGAGGTCAGCATCCTGTCGTTGCGCGCGCGAGCGAGGTCAAGGCAGGTCGCACAGCCTCAACGAGAACTTTCCTGGGAGGCGGGGAGATAACGGAGCTGTTAGAGGGTAAAAGGGAGAGTGAGTGGAGCTAAGAAGGAAAGAAAGAGTGACCTGGACTCGTGACCCAAAGGGGGCAGGGAAGGAGAACAAGGGAGAGAGGAAAACAGGCAAGGATAATCAGGGAAGATCACACGCCAAGGAACTCAAACCAAGTCACACCAACTCCTTCTTTCTATCTACAAGTTGCCGCCCAATCGTTTCTTGGTGTTTATGGCTCGGTTCCGGCGGCGCCACCGAAGGAAGTCGTCCCCCCGCCGTCCGACACAGCGGGGGAGGCCCTTTCTGCACGAGTCGCTAAGGCCACACGGTTCAGCGTCGGTGCTCCAAAGTCCAAGGAACCGAGAGTCTTTGTTCGCAAAAGTCACACACACAATACATATAAAAAAAAATCACTTTTTACGCAGAATAAAAGTTGAAACGCTTTTAACGGTAAACCGAATCGGACCTTTGTTTACACATTCCAGCTTCAAATTGACACAGAAAAAAAAATAATCATTTGCCAATCTACGACAACTAACCTTAAAGGTGTACAAGCAATATAAATATAGTCATTCATACATGTATACCGAAATACACAAACAAAAATCCACAGGAACACACGGAAGTATACACAGAACATTCACAGCCTTCCGTAAACATATATACATACCCATACAGACACACAAACACAGACAAATCAAATCATAAAAAAAACAACTGGGAGAGGAGAAAGTAAGCAATCGAAGGCTTTAAAGCAAATACAAGATATACATAAATACATAAAATGATTAGATAAAAATACACGGGACTAAAAAGTGATCGTACATGACACGTGACTAAGAAACAACATGCGCCGAAACAAAAGGTAATTAAAATGTAATCAAAACAAATCAAATGTAAATAAGCACAGGCTGTAAACAAAACATGGCGAGAGTCAACACGCATGCAGACGTAAACATAAACAAGTATAAATAAACACACAGTATGAATGGTAATGTGTAGTTCACTAGAAAGTGTGAGCCAACTCCATGTACATCATACAGAGTAGACGTAAACAAACACAGACGGAGAAAGAAAATAGGAGAGTAAATATGTGTAAAATGTAATACCAGACACAGCATGCAAGTTAACAAATAAAAACACAGACAAACATAGACCGAAAAGAAAGAAACTGACATAGAAAAACAAAATGAAGAAAAAATGAAATAAAAACCCCAGCCGGAAGTCCTGGTACCAAATATAAACAAACATGGTACCAAACACCAAGTAAAGAGAGCGAAAACAAACACAAAACCAACACAAGAAAGCCTAAAAACAAACAAAAACAAACACGAGGCCCAGCGTCAACAAAGACAAAACGTCAACAAACACGAAAAGGGGACAAACAATAAACCAAAACAAACACAACCCGGGGAGAAGCAGACAAGAACAAAACAAGCACACGACGCACTCAAACAAGAACAAAACAAGCACACGACGCACTCAAACAAGAACAAAACAAGCACACGACGCACTCAAACAAGAACAAAACAAGCACACGACGCACTCAAACAAGAACAAAACAAGCACACGACGCACTCAAACAAGAACAAACAAGCACACGACGCACTCAAAACAAGAACAAAACAAGCACACGACGCACTCAAAAAAGAACAAAACAAGCACACGACGCACTCAAAACAAGAACAAAACAAGCACACGACGCACTCAAACAAGAACAAACAAGCACACACGACGCACTCAAACAAAACAAAACAAGCACACACGACGACTCAACAAGAACAAAACAAGCACACGACGCACTCAAACAAGAACAAACAAGCAACGCACTCAAACAAGAACAAAACAAGCACACGACGCACTCAAACAAGAACAAAACAAGCACACGACGCACTCAAACTTCTTTCCCTTCCCCTCCCTTCCCTCTCTTCCTTCCCCTCTTTCTCTTTCTCTTCTCTTACCTTCCATTCCCTTTCCTTTCCTTCCCTCCCCCCCCCTTCCCCTACGTTACTTTCCTTCCCTTCTCCCACTTCCGTTTTCCGCAATCTTCTTTCTCACTTTTCTCTTCGTCTTTCTCTCCACCTTCTTCCGTCCTTCCTCCCTTCCCTCTTGCTCCTTACCCATTCCCACGCCTGTCCTCCTCCCTCGCTTCTCTCTCTCTCCTTCCTCCCCCCCTCTTTCCTCCCTCATTTTCATTTTCCTTTTCTCTTTTTCTTTTTTCCTTCCCTTCCCTCTTTTCCTTCCTTCTCTTCCCCTGTTGCCTATTCCCCATTCTCTCCTTACCCCATTTTCGCTTCTCTTTTGCTTATCCTTATTCAACCTTTCTCGTGTCCGTTCCTCCTTTTAATTCTCTGATTCCCTCCCCCTCCTTTCTTTCTCTTTCCCTTCCCATTTCCCAAATTTTGCCCTTTTCCCTTTCCCCGTCCTTAACTACCACTTCCACTTCCACCCTACTATTTCCACTTCCCATTCCCTTCCTTACCCTTACCACTTCCCTTTACCACTTTCCTTGCCTTTCTTTCCTTACCCTTACCACTTCCCTTCCCTTCCTTTCCTTCCCTTACCACTTCCCTTTCCTTTCCTTACCCTTACCACTTCCCTTCCCTTCCCTTTCCTTACCCTTACCACTTCCCTTCCCTTTCCTTTCCTTCTTACCTTCCCTTCCTTCCCTTCTTCCTTCCCTTCCTTCCTTTCCTTTCCTTACCACTTCCCTTCCTTCCCTTTCCCTTTCCTTTCCTTACCACTTCCACTTCCACTTCCCTTCCTTACCTTACCATTCCCTTCCTTCCTTTCCTTACCCTTGCCACTTCCCTTCCCATTCCCTTTCCTTAGCCTTACCACTTCCACTTCCACTTCCCTATCACCTCCTCCCTTCCACTGTTTAATTAGCTTCCATGAGTCACGCCCACGTGGCTGAAGAGCTCTACCCTGGCCGCGTGTGGGAGGGGAGGAGAGGGGGTGGGAGGGGTGGGAGGAGAGGGGGAGAGGGGTGGGGGGGGGAGGGAGGTGATGTCACTGCACTGGCCGCGGGAGAGCACGTCGGTGTGTTATTATGGGGACTGGTGTGGGGGGGGAGGGAGGGTGGATGGTGAGGGGTGCGGGGGGAGGGGGGGAGGGCTTACGGCTAAACAAATGGATGGAACAATATTGCCTTTTCGTCCTCCTTCTATCACGCGTTGGAAGGTATGAACACTGATTAATTACCACGTGGATGCAAATTAACAGACACACACACACACACACACACACACACACACACACACACACACAGTCAGTCAGTTCCAGTATGACTAACGAGGATTAACCTTAACCAATCCAATTCATACAATTCATTATGGTTCAAAGGCCGATGACTTGTGTCCTTTTAGCTCTCCACGCTGACACGGTAGCTCGTTCACTATATTGGTCTAATTCGCTGTCACGGTCTCACTATACTGGCCCTTTTCAAGTCACTACTACAGGCATTTCTCGCCGTGGCAGCTGGACTCGCTCACTCTCCTGACCTTCCTTCATCACAGTGCCAACGCGGGTCATACAACTGGCCTTCCTCACTATGGTGTTCTGAACAAGGGGTGACACTACTTCACACGGCGGTCGAGGCGCTTGTTGACAACTCACTCTCACGTGACACTTGCAGCTTGACCTCTCACACACAGCCTCGCACCCTGGCTGACCTCCTTTGGGGGCTCAGCCTGTGACAGCGGCTTCACGAGCCCTCCTGGCCTTTCCCTAACACGAGGGTCGCCTAACTGGCTTCACATCCTCACACACTGTCCTTCGCGAGCTCTCACACGGCGGCCGCCTGCATGACGGCCTTGCATGGCGGGTCGGCCTCGCGCTCCTCGGCTCACTCACGGCTCGAGCACTTTCCGAGACCCGGCGCCAGGCAAAGAGACGCAGGTCCTTACGTGTCCGTCTTCGGCGTCTCCGGCGGCCTTCGGGGGACTCCTCAACGACGCAGAAGTTTCGTTACATATCCTCAGTCGAGGGGGTGGGCAGGGGGCGGCGCCCGTCTTCGAAACACACACACGAACGAACACGTAATACAAATTTCGTAGGAGAGATAACAAAATATCCAGCGTTCACTATGACAGTCCTTCACTATACCGGCAGCTCTTGCAAAGTCCTCCTGCTGTCCTTCCCCGGACACAAGTGTTCAAGAAGAGTCCTTTGCTGGCTTTCGCAGCTCGCGGATCGCGCGACGGGGAAGGTGGAGCTGCACGCGCCGAGGACTCACTCCGCCATCTTCCCAACGGAGGCTCGTCGACCCCTACGTTCGCGGTTGCCGCTTCGCCCTTGCTGCCTGCCTGCAGCTCCTGGCCCCCTGCGGCGTCCTGCGCTTCCCTCCGCTTGGCCGGGCCCTTGCTCACGCCCTGTCTACGCCGCCCAACACCGAAAATACGGCCGGAATACTGCCTTTCGGCTCCTAAATTTCGAAAAGAATAAGACGAACCGGGACCCTCGCAGGAGCGGTTACGGAACAGCTGTGTGGCCACGGCGTCGGCGCCGATAACAGAGGCGCGTCCGGCCGACTTCCTCTGCCGAACTCCCAGCCTGCTTTTCCATCTACGACTAATCTCAAACTTTCTTTCTCTAGTAATATTCCAAACAATACGATTTCATGGCAATTTTGCAGGAGCGATGTTTTTACCTGCACCGAGTCGCCAGGCGAGAACAAAGCGGAAAGAAAAAAAGATCAATAATTGTATCCAGTACAAAGTTTCGGACACGGTTGGCGTCGTGTGATTGGTGGATCAATAGTGAGGGAGGAGGTGGAGGAGGAGAGGAGGAGGAGGAGGAGGAGGAGGAGGAGGAGGAGGAGAAGAAGAAGAAGAAGAAGAAGAAGAAGAAGAAGAAGAAGAAGAAGAAGAAGAAGAAGAAGAAGGAGAAGAGAAGAAGAAGAAGAGAAGAGAGGGAAAGAAAAGAAGAAGAAGAAGAAGAAGAAGAGCAGCAGCAGAAGAAGAAGAAGAGAGGAGAAGAAGAAGAAAGAGGAGGAGGAGGAGAAAGAAGAGGTGGAGGTGGTGGGATTGGGGGTTGGGGGTGGAGGAAGAGGAAGAGGTTGAAGTGTGGTTGGTGATGGAGGTGGAATTTGGAGACGAAAATGGAGGAGGAAGGAAGAGGAAATAAGAACGAAAGGGAGGAGGAGGAGGAGGAATAACAAAAACAAATAAGAACAAGAATAGAAGAGAAGGAGGAGGTGGGCAGAGGAACAAGAAATAGAGGTGGAGGTGGACAGGAGGAGGAGGAGGAGGAGGAGGAGGAGGAGGAGGAGGAGAGAAGAAGAGAAGAAGAAGAAGAAGAAGAAAGAGAGAAGAAGGAGAAGGAGAAGAAGAAGAAGAAGAAGAAGAAGAAGGAGAAGGAGAAGAAGAGAAGAGAGAAGAAGGAGGAGAGAAGAAGAAGTAGTAGAGAAGAAGAAGTAGAAGGAGAAGAAGAAGAAGAAAGAAGGAAAAGGAGAAGCAGTAGAAGCAGAAAGGGAGACAGAAAGAGGAAAAGGAGAAATACCAGAATTAGGAGTAAAAAAAAGAAAGAAAAAAGAGCAGCAGCGAGGGCGAAGGAAAACAAAGGAGAAAGAGCGAGAGGTCGAAAGGAGAAAGCAGAGTCGAACACGAGAGAGCCGAGAGTAGAAGGAGAAAGGGAAACAGAAAGAGGAAAAGGAAAAGGACGAGAATTAGGTCGAAAAAGAAAAAAAGAGCAGTAGCAAAAGAAAACAAAGGAGAAAGAGCGAGAGGTCGAAAAGAGAAAGCAAAGAGTCGAACACGAGAGAGCCGAGAGTAGAAGGAGAAAGGGAGACAGAAAGAGGAAAGGAAAAGGACGAGAATTAGGTCGAAAAAAAAGAAAAAAGAGCAGCAGCGAGGGCGAAGGAAAACAAAGGAGAAAGAGCGAGAGGTCGAAAAGAGAAAGCAGAGTCGAACACGAGAGAGCCGAGAGTAGAAGGAGAAAGGGAGACAGAAAGAGGAAAAGGAAAAGGACGAGAAGTAGATGGAAAAAAAAAAAGAGCAGTAGCGAGGGCGAAGGAAAACAAAGGAGAAAGAGCGAGAGGTCGAAAAGAGAAAGCAGAGTCGAACACGAGAGAGAGCCGAGAGTAGAAGGAGAAAGGGAAACAGAAAGAGGAAAAGGAAAAGGACGAGAAGTAGGTGTAAAAAAAGAAAAAAAAAGAGCAGTAGCAAAAGAAAACAAAGGAGAAAGAGCGAGAGGTCGAAAAGAGAAAGCAGAGTCGAACACGAGAGAGCCGAGAGTAGAAGGAGAAAGGGAGACAGAAAGAGGAAAAGGAGAAAGACGAGAAGTAGGTGTAAAAAAAAGAAAAGAAAAAGAGCAGCAGCGAGGGCGAAAGAAAACAAAGGAGAAAAGAGCGAGAGGTCGAAAAGAGAAAGCAGAGTCGAACACGAGAGAGAGCCGAGACCTCGAGCACGTGCGCTGAGCCGACGGACCCCGAGTGGTTGTCGTGAGGTGAGGCTTTCCCGAACCTTTCCCGACTGCAACTTATGCAACAGGAATCCCTCTTCTTCAAGGCAGGCTGTGGGAGGGAGATTCTACAACAGGTTCTCCTTTTATCCCTTTAAAGAGAAGGGTTTTCCCCCAGCCTCTCCCCCCAACCCCCCCCCCGTCGAGAGGACCTAGAACGCAAATTATGTACGCCCCGTTATATAAGGTTAAGTTCTGGAAACGGCGGCGGTTGTGGCGTGTTCTGGGGCTTTCGAAGTTACAACGCTATTTTGGGAAGAAATAGAGTTATACGCGTAATAAAAGACGGTGGGGATCAATTCTTATAAAAGGTTTTCCGTCAATTTTTTTATCATATCATAGATATCCAAGATAAAGAGTAAGGTTATTTACACGCATACACATGTGTGAAATTCATGGCGAACAGATTGCAACAGGAACAACGAAGGGAAGGACAAGGAAAACACACGAATATGACGAACAGATTGCAACAGGAACAACGAAGGGAAGGACAAGAAAACACACGAATATGACGAGAGATTGCAACAGGAACAACGAAGGGAAGGACAAGAAACACACGATATGACGAAGAGATTGCAACAGGAACAACGAAGGAAGGACAAGAAACACACGAATATGACGAACAGATTGCAACAAGAACAACGAAGGGAAGGACAAGAAAACACACGAATATGACGAAGAGATTGCAACAGGAACAACGAAGGGACCAGAAAACACACGAATATGCATATTCGTGTGTTTTCTTGTCCTTCCCTTCGTTGTTCCTCTTGTTACACATACACATAAGAAAGCAGTGCTTGAGGTGGCCAGATGACCAGATTCAAGAACTGGTGCTCGATACCCTAAGAAGACGAAGAAGGAAAGAGGAGGAGGAGGGGGTGGAGGAGGGAGGGGAGAAGAGGAGGAGGAGGAGGAAGAGGAGGAGGAGGGGGGGAAGAAGAGTGGGAGGAGAGGAGCAGGGGGAGATGGAGAAGAAGAAGCCGAAGGAAAAGAAGAAAAGAGGAAGAGGAGGAGATGGAGAAGAAGAAGCCGAAGGAAAAGAAGAAAAGAGGAAGAGGAGCAGCAGCAACCAAAAAAACAGCAGTCCTCTCTCTCGGTCTGCTTTCGCTTTCGTTCCGCAGCAGAGCAAGAAAAAGTTACACAAAGACGCCCTCGTCCTCGTGTGGTGTCAGGGTCGAAGATGACGACGAAGATGGCTTGCCCTCGATCGGAAAAAAGACACGAGTCGGTACGTGGCACCGCAAACACGAGTCCGTAATTGTTCATATCTCACAACAGGCTCTCCATCTTGCACTCCTCCTTGGCAGTAAATCAAGGACATCCATTTCTCTCGCCCACTCTCCGCCTCCTTTTATCCCGATTTTCCCGATTGCCCAAAGAATCGGAAATCTACAGGGTCCTCGGGTGATATGAGTTGCGGTCTCCCTCCATGGAGAGATATACTTGGCGGCGACTTCCTGGAGTGGATCTGAAGCGGGGTCAACTTATACGGCAATCGGTGTTTCCTGACGCCTCTCCCGGTTGGTCCTCGGGTGGTATGAGTTGCGGTCTCCCTCCATGCAGCTATACGCCCTCGAAGACCCGCCCTCTCCACCCCACCCCCTCGGCCGAAGACACCCACCCCGGCCGCCTCGAAGACTCCCTCCCCCCTGTCGCCCTGAAGACCCCCCCCCCAGCGTCGCCTCGAAGACTCCCCCTGTCGCCCTCGAAGACCCCCCACCCCCCTTCCCCTGAAGACTCCCCCCCAGGCCGCCCTCGAAGATCCCCCTGTCGTTTCTCGAAGACCCCTCGCCTCCCCCTGTCGCCCTCGAAGACCCCTGTTGCCTCAAGATCCCCCCCCCCCGTCGCCCTCGAAGACCCCCCCCTGTCGCCCTCGAAGACCCCCCTTCCTCGAAGACCCCCCCCCACCGGCCGCCCTCGAAGACTCCCCCGGTCGCCCTCGCTCCGCCCTCATCATCCGGAAGCGTTCTCCCCCGCCGCTGCGTCGCTCCACCCCTCTCCCCCACCCCACCCCCGCTTCCCCGTTTCAACCCCGCCGCCAAAGCCAGTCAAATCCCCCGTGGGCTTTCTGAACCGGCTTCTCCAGGGGAATGACGGTCCCTCGAGCAGGCCACTGGCGGTCCCTCGAGCAGGCCACTGGCGGTCCTCGAGCAGGCCCTTGGCGGTCCCTCGAGCATTCGAGCAGCAGGTCCTCGAGCAGGCCTTGGCGGTCCTCGAGCAGGCCTTGGTCCTCGAGCAGGCCACTTGGCGGTCCCTCGAGCAGGCCCACTTGGGGTCCCTCAGCAGGCTCTTGGCGGTCCCTCGAGCACGGTCCTCGAGCAGGCCCACTTGGCGGTCCTCGAGCAGGCCCCTTGGCGGTCCCTCGAGCAGGTCCTCGAGCAGGCCCTTGGCGGTCCCTCGAGCAGGCCAGGTCCCTCGAGCAGGCCTACTTGGCGGTCCCTCGAGCAGGCCCACTTGGCGGTCCCTCGAGCAGGCCTACTTGGCGGTCCCTCGAGCAGGCCTACTTGGCGGTCCCTCGAGCAGGCCCACTTGGCGGTCCCTCGAGCAGGCCCACTTGGCGGTCCTAGGCCTTTGGCGGTCCCTCGAGCAGGCACTGCGGGCGGTCCTCGAGCAGGCCCACTTGGGGTCCTCGAGCAGGCCTCCTTGGCGGNTCATCAGTGACTTAATAGAAGCTGGGCCAAGGAGAAGGCAGTTGAATTCAAATCAGTTCCATCATGGCTAGACAGTGTGTAGATAGTGAGAACAAATTATTTCGATTTCATGCGAAATGTCAACAAAATAACGAAGCAAGATTTACTAATCTACATCGCGTG